AGGACTTTGTGGATGTTTTCAAAATGAGGTAAAAAAAAGTCTTAAGGAATTGGTCAAAACTGAAAGAATTGGGCATTTTCCAGCAACAACAGAGTTTGGACAGAAAAATCCCTGACCAGTTTTATCGATGGCATTTGCAAGTAGCAAATTTTTAGATGTGGCAATTTTTTTTAATTTTCATGCACCTGATTAGGCACCAGGGATGGATGGAGTGAAGCAAGGGCAGTGTTGGGCGTTCTCCACACAGGCTAGAGAGGGGACAGGGTGCTGTCTGCAAGAGCTTAGTGTGGCCTTGTACTTCCCCAAGACCGTTCCTGCAGACGCACCTTCGTCCTCTTCCCTTGGCCTTTGAGGAGAGATGTGTTGGGCCTCCATGCCACTAGAGAGTGGATCAGGAGATCCAAAGGTAATATTTGCAGGAATAGCCCACCTCTGTGTAGTCTCTGCAAGAGCTTTCAAAAGGAGGGGGCACTCCTGGGATAGCCAGCCAAAACCTCTTCACTAGGGTCAAATGTGCAGGAAGAGGATGCCATGATCAAAGACCACCTCATGGCTCTCGACCTCAGTGAACTTTAACTTTCAGGCCATGTGCATGGCCATGTGCTTGGCCACTGAGGAAGAGCTGCCCAGAAGCCCTTACCCCAGGCAGCAGATTCTGCACGCAGAAGGGGTGCTTTCCATTGCTCTTCCTGTCCAGACTGGGAGACTCACGTGCCATGCACACTGGAAATTTCTGTCCTAGAAGTCACATGTGGAGCCACAGCAATAAATAACAAATCATCTTCACTAGCCTATAAGTATGAGACAGCTTAAAAAAAAAAAACAAACCACGAGCACTGCATGCTTTCAAAGGTCTCCTGGTCACTGTTGCTACCAGCAACCTTGCTTATGAGGAACTGGGACCCAGGGACGCCAGAGGCGCACATGGATCTCGACAGCTCGTGTGCTACCTTGGGAGGTGGCAGAAGGTGCTCATGTTCATGAGGGCTTCTTTTCTGTCACTTTTCCCAGTGCTGATTCACTGGTAACTAAAGGTGAAAAGCCTGAGCTGTCATAGACACAGAGAAGACAGTTATCTACTGCTTTCTGTCTAGAAAGCTCTTCTCCCCACCCACGCTAAGGCTGACTGCAGAGATCTGAAGATGGGCTATATGGTAGCTGTCATGGCATCAAAGCTTCTTTGACACTTTTCTGGTTTGCTTTTTCACTTCTCACCAATTTGTTTCTCTGGGTTTTTATTTCCCTCCACCAGTTTTCACATCATTTTCAGTCTTTCCTTAATGGCATGCAGCTTCAGTCACACTGAAGTTCCAGCCTTGGCTGGCCTCTCACGGATGTACGCCTGAGACAGCTTTAGCTCCTCTCAGACAAAGCTCCCCTTTTTGAGATGGGTTCAGGACATTTGCTTCATTCAGCAGCACCCTTGAGGCCCTTCAGTGCGCTCACAACATACAGGAAACCTCAGATCCCAGACAAATGGGCAGCACGTTGCAAGCTAAACTGGATACCCTTGAAGATGCTGGGAATAAGTTCATGACTCTACCAGTGGCGATGAATAAACTTGAGAAAGGATTGGGAAGACACCTTCTAATTTGGATGTCTTGTTCAAACCCCAGTGCAATCTCTTACAGGTTTCTCCAAAGTCATGCTTCCCTAGGGCTGTCCTCATGAGTCTGCACCACCCAACTGCCTCCGGTTTGTGCTCTTTGACTGCCAACAGGGCATCTTCTTCACTTCCCAGCACCACCTTCTTCTGCTTCCTCAGGTCAACAGGCCTCATGCCTGATGGTGACCCCTTGGGCTGGGCTTTCCTTGGGAGCAGGCTGGGCTCCCTGTTACTGAAACAACATTCCTGGTATGTCTCCCTTTTCAGTGCTCCAAGGTGAACATCCAAGAATGAGAAAAGAGGGTGAATTTTTCAAAGCTATTTGCCTGACCAGGGAGTCAAATTTCCAGTTTCAAAAGTGACTTGGATGATGAAACTTAAGTGCATGACTAGGGAGTTCGGTGACGCTTCACGCCCTTAAGTTCTCCCCAAGTGGTTTGGGGTGCACATATAGCCCAGCACGCTCCCACGTGGAGGAGTTAGCACAGGTCTCGAAACCCAGATGCTGTGTGGCACAGAAAACATATTTGGTCATGGGCAGTGAGGGTGCACCAGTGTCTTTGCTCAGTGCAGGCCTACCAAAAGTGCAGTGAAAACCAGCAACAAATCAGGTGCCAAAGCCACCTCAGTCGTGCAGGACCTTCCAAAGCTTTCTTCTGTGAGAGGGCCAGCAAGTGAAATGTTCCCTGTCCCCCTGCCTTGGGGAATTGGGAAATGCATTCTTTAGGGGAAATATGGACAGGTTTGGAGCTGTGGAGGTGTTGAGGTAGAGAAGAGCAGTAGATGAGATGGAGAGGTTATGCAGCCTTTTACTGGCTATATCTTCTTCTTGGATCATGCTGGATTCAGGGGTGTGTCTACAGGTTCTCCGTAGGCATCTAGCATCCAGCATCGAAACTCAGGCTACCTCTGGAGTACCAGCAGGTTGTCCCAAAGGCTGGTGGTGGCCTCCTTTAGGAGCCTTTGGCAGTGGTGTGTCAGTGTGTCAGCAAATGTCTCAGCCTTCCCCCAGGGAGCATTAATGCTGGTCTTCAGGCAGGGATTAGACGTTTATGTCCATCGCCGCAGCTGGGAGATCTTTATACCCTGTCCTGGCTTGTACCCCGCAACCTGGTGCCTCCTCAAGTCCTTCCCCAGACCTCAGCTGAATCTCACCTTTCCCATTTGGAGAAGAGCCCTCCAGCCCGGAGAAGCCCGCATCGTTGCAGGTCTGGTCTGTACGTGCCCTTGATCTGTACGTACCCTCGGTCTGTACGTACCCTCGGTCTGTAGAGCTGGTGTGGCTGCTGAGAGCCCCCAGCGCTCCCTCCTGTGCTGTGATTCCCACCCGCTGGCCCAGATCAGTGTCAGGGAGATCGGTGAGGGACAACTATGAAAAATCAAGGTTTTCTGGTCATAATGAATAGCAAAGACGTCTCTAATTTCTACCTCTTCCCCCGAAGGGAACTAAATAGTTGCTGAAGAAAACTGTCCGTGTTCCCTTAAGCAAGTAGGGAGAAGCAGGAATTCATCTCTCTTCTTGACTCTTTTTTGTTGCCACTGGAGTTGCATATCTGTAACGTGCCATCTCGACATAAATCTGTCAAGAACAACAAATGCTGCCATAGCCCTTGAGCAAGAGTACAGAGCTAATCTGCCAACAAGCTCTGGAACTACAAAGCTTTGGTCCCATTAAAAATCAAAGCTATCCCTTCGTCATCCCCTTCGCCATGTCCGCAGGCTGGGGGCAGGCACAGAAAGGTCAGCTCTGCTCTGCCCGTGCGGGGCTGGCAGCGAGCGCCTGGGACGTAGGCTTGGATCTGGGCCTGGACCTGTCCCGCTCCACCCCACCATATCTGCAGGTTGGGACCAGTCGTCTGACACCGTGCCAAGGCTGCTCCAGCTGCTTGCCATCCTTTGCCGTGGACCAGCAGGGAGCTAAGCCACTGACCAAGGCCTCTGGTCCATGTCCTTTTGGCTGGGGTGTCCTTCAGTCCCTTCTTTGCTGACCAGCTGGGGCTTGCCAAACACGGAGGGACAGTGTGATCCTGGGGTGACAGCCAAGAGTGAGGAAAGCCTGACGTGTAGGGGGCGCAGAGCCTGCAAGTCCCGCTTACCCCGGGAAGGTGGAAACCAGATGCTGAGATGCTAGCTGTAATGATAAAACCCTCCTAAGCTCAGAGGAGGGAGAGGTCGGTTGGGGCGGGAGCGAGGGAGTTGTGGGACAGGCAGGCAAGAGCTGGGACTCCAGAAAAGCTAGGCACAACTTTGAGGGACTATTCAAGGAGGCAAGAAGAAAAGACTTGAAGTGAGGGAGAGAGATGAGTGCTGGGGGCAGAAGCGTTTGACCACCCCCAGCTGAGCTCCCATAGCTCCCCAGGCTCACCCGCCACTGCGGGGCCGCTCCAGGGAGCGTACTCATGAGGTGGCGCATGTGCCTGGTGGCCCTTGTCTGCAGGGCAGCATCCCTGCCACTGCAGCATGACGCTAATGTATAGCTGGTGCCCCAGGAGCCGGCCCAGCCCAGCCCACCGTGTGGGTCGGGATAGCCCGTGAGACCTGTTCGGTTCAGCTTTCTTCTCTGTCCCTTCCTCTCTGTTAACACAGAGACTCTGCACAAGCTTCCTCTCTAACCGCCACGTAACCCTTTTCCCTGGGGCGCCCTGCGGGTACCTGGGGGAATACCGGGACGACGCTTGCCATACGCACGCTGACTGTCGCCTGAGCAGCCGCTCACCGTTCTGTGGTGCCTCTCGCCAGTCCTCTCTAGACAGCAGCTTCAGGGAGAGTCTCTGACAGCAGCATCCAGCCCATCTCGATCTTCCTGCCAGCCAGTGCTGCCAGGTGACAAGGAAGGAGGCAGGCAGAGGAGGAAAGGAGGGGTTTGGCTGGCGGCTTGACGACCCAGGCCAAAAATAGAGCTGGAATGCTGATGCTGCAGGTGCCTGGTTAAAGCAAAGCAAAGAGTAAATACACGTGTAAAGCCTTTATTTTTTCCATTCATCACAATGCACTTTTTATTTCTGACCTTAGCCTCAAGAATGGTGCCAGACATGTTCTGTGATTTCTCCCCTTTTCCCCTCCAGATGTCCAAACGGATTCTTCGGACAGAGATGTTTGGAGAAACTGCCTTTGCGATTGTACATGCCAGATCCTAAGCAAAGTATGTTTGAAGACAAAAAATGCACCACACTACTTAAAACCTCCTGGGCACAGCGGTGGATGTAGAGTGGTCTAGTCAGGGATGGCTCTTGGTGTCAGCTTTGGGCTAGGGCTTAGGGATGCAGGTAAGGGTGAAGGCTGAAAGCAGATGGATAGAAGTCGCGGAAGGGATCAGAAGGGGCCTCAGATCGGTCTGTTTGGGTGTCATTTTGCTATCTTGTTTCTCTCTTTCTGGTTTTCTTTCTTCCGGTAGGTGTCCGATCGAATTCACAGGAGACCGGTGTCAGCATTTCGCAATGGTCAGCTTCTCCAGTATGTCTCTTTCTACTTCTCTCTCTCCCTGGTTATTGTAGCTCTGTGTCGTGTCCTTAAAGCAGGTTCTTCTGTTCTCCAAGAGCCCCCTCCCTGCCTTGTGCGCTCCCAGCTCTGCTTGGCCGTAAGAGGAGCTGTGATCGCGTCCAAGAGGAGAATCGGGACTCTTGTTATCTCCCCGTTTGTTAGAATGGGTTCTGCTTTCATTTCTGATTGAACTCAATGTTGCTTGCGCTTTTCATGCAAAATGCAAATGAGGCACAAGGTGATGTGGTGTGCTGCGTGAGAACAGCCCGTCTGATAAGCTGCATCCGCTAGCGTTGCCGTCGCACGACGGACTATGCTGCGCAGCGCAAGAGGTGTACGTTTTCCCATGGCTCTTGCGAGGGGTTGTGTGAGTCTCTCTGTACCAACTGAGGAAACCACAGCGAGGGCTGTAATGAAATCTCCTCCGAGCTGAGGCTGCGTTTCTGTTTCCAGAAGCTGGCCCAGGTATCAGTTCCTGTCCAGGTGAGGTGGCTGGAGGCTCCTCGCAGTCAGGTCCTGGAGCCTGCCCAGAGGGCTGAACAGGGCACACGCGCGTGCCGGGAGCTCTGGAGCTCATGCTGGTGGCTGCCACGGTCTCAGGGCTTCCTACGCCTCAGTGCCACGCAGGATAACAGGCTACATCTGCCGACTGGTCGTCTCAGATTATATCCCTCCCGGACACAGAGGTGTTCCTGTCGCTCCCAGGGGGCTGGACAGCCTTGCATATGGGGTTGTGTCTAACGGCAGTGACGGATCCTTGAACCTCATGTTCAGTGGGTGCAAATACCCTGGAGCCCTTGCACTTAGTGTCTCCCAGTTTCTAGTTTCCAGTTCCCCCAGGCTCTAGGTCTCCAGGGATGCCTTGCTTATAGACATCATTAGCTCGTTTTGTTCAAGACAGATAATTTTTCTGGGCCCATATTCAGACTGTGTCCCAGCATCAGTGGGGTCCTGGTCTGGGTAGGGACTGACCAGAAAGGAGGCACAGCTGCAGCGCAAGAGGTCGGCCATGGTCACCCTCTCTATGACCCATCCCGCCTCTGTGCTGCCTGTTCGGACCACCACAAATGGTGGTTTGAAAAAGAGCCTTTTTTAAAAGAGCCACAAAAGAGGCTTTAGTTAGTGGGAACCAGAGGAGAAATGCCTCTCTGTGATGACTCCTTGTTTGCCAGTACCCCCTCTACCACCGCTCTGTAAGAAATCCTGCAGTCCTCACCCTGAACTGGCAATGGCAGGCACCTCATTAGCACATGCTAATAGCTGGCAAGTGCTGGCATTGGACTCCCTTCTACAGGGTATCCAGACAAGATGCAAATGGGCTTTGTGAGGCCCCTGGGACAGCCTGGCGCTACATTGCCTTTTGTTCCAAATTGTTTTCCAAAGTTGAAACCTCCATTGATTCATTCTTTCAGACTACAACATCCAAGTGAGCTCTTTTTAAAATGACAAAGCAAAATGTTCTGGTTTGATCTTTAACCTGATGCCAAAGGGTTTCCCTTCCCTTTCAAGCCCGTAGGGTCAGGGACCCCAGCGGCAGACAGCAGCGGGATGCTCACCCGATGAAGCTCATTTGTAGCATGAGGTGGTGTCCACCAGGCTTAAACATTATTGCTACCACGCTGCAAAACCAATACAGGCAAAAATTAGTTTCATGTCAGGAAAACACCTTTTCTGAGCATTAATGGCAAGAGTAAACAGTGTGGGGTTTTTTCCCCAGCCTGCAGAATCCAGCTTTTTATGGGAATGAGATTTGTTTAAATTTTATTCACGCGTTAGAGGAACAGTGCTAAATTTAAAACTAACGCATGTACATTTCCTTACCTGAATTCTGCTTTAACCACAGGATAGTAAGGCAAAAACAGCTTAACAATGCAGGTTACCTGTCTGAACTTGGATAAAAATAATCTTCTTGATGATTCATATCGCTGTTTTCACTTTCAGGTCACCGCTGGGTAATATAGGTACCAGCAACACTGCAGAAAAGCATGCGCGGAACTTGCTGTTCCTCTTCATAGGAAAGGCACCTCGCTTGAGTCTGGGCTGTGCAAATGCTCACTTCCCACTTTAATCAATAATTAAGGCACAGTAGAAGCTGATGTTGCTCTGTAATTCACGCAGTGCTTCATCCCATATGGGTTCTGCAGGTCAGAAGCTGAAACAGATTAAATGAGGTTCAGGCATTTCCATTGGAAATGAAATAGTTCTGTCCTGATTCATGTTCTGAGAACACTGCCAGCACTTGGCAGATACTTAACTAGTAAATAATGACCCCTACACTGGTGGTGTTTTACATACATTTGGGGTGGTTTAGGTCTTCAGGCCTAGGTTGGTGATTCTTTAACATAAATATTAAATATTACAATCTGACTTTTAGTAGGTCTATCCCAGGGCTGAGCGAGAATCTCTGCAGAGTGAACTAAATTTAAGATGCTGTTCTGAAAAGATATGTCAGATACTGTGGTGAATTTGGGCCAGAGATGGAGACGGTGCAGCATCCCAGCGTCATGCCAGGTGTCCTGTATCTTCCTTCTGGGGGCAGCTTCCACCTCACCAGTTCAAACTGTTGTTCGGATTTTGCTCAGGTAAAACTCCCCATGTTCTCTAGGAGTTCAGGCTGTCGTTGGCCATTTGACTGGTAACTCTGGGGGTGTGGTTTTCTCTGACTGTCCGAAATTCCTGCTAGACCTCTGCCATTATGAAGGTGAAAATCAGTTGTGTTTAGACAGGTTTTCTCACATGCGATGTTTCTCTGTGTTGCTGATACAGCCACATGACCACGTGCCTGCTGCCAGACATTCTGGGCGTATCCCTACTGCTTGGAAATGAAGAGGAAATGTTGAAGATGGAGGGGGTGTTCTATGTGGGGCTCACACGTTGCTGTTTTCTGACAGATTGGTACAGAGCAACTCACTAGGACTTGTGTTATTGGGCTGGCTCAGAGACTCCCCAGCCTGTCCCGGCCCAGCCGTTATTTGGATGAATAGCGTTTGCTTTTGGTAGGCATTGGCAACAGCAGAATCCAAGCAAGTATCTCAGCGGTTGGTTCCTATCTGCTTGTAAGGAGTTTACATTTTATTTTGTTTGCATTGTAATGCAAATATAATGGGAAATTATATGTGCAGATATAATGGGGAAAGTGTTGAGATACCAGAGTTAAAAAGCAAAGCATGCTGAACCAGCTACTTACCTGAGAAAATGGATGCATGGTGCAAACAGAGAGCTGTGCTGGCCCAGCAAGGGGCCGCTCCGGAGCAGAGCTGTGGTGCCTGGCCGTGTTGGCTCTCTAAGCCTGCCTTTACGCTAAGCCTGCACTAGTCTAAGCCACCATGATGGTCTGTTTCTAGCAAGGCTCATAGCGTAAGGACATCTCAGAGAGAACGTTTGTTTCGTGCAGCGGTGGCCGGGTGCGTGCAGGCAGAGGGCTCCAGCAGTCAGCAGACAGACAGGAACCTGCTGAGCAGCAGCAGCGCAGCTGAGGGCCTTTGCGACGCTGAGCCCTAGCAACCCCATATCCAGCAATGGGCACAACCTCCCCGGGAAACTTAAAAGCTTTGTCCTGTTTTAGGCCAGTTTTAGGACAGTATGGCAGATGGCTTTCCCACATTCATCAGAACAGAAAACCTACCAGAAGAAGGAAGGAAGGAGAGGTGTCAGAGCAAACAACTGCACATTCATGGGGATTAAAATAGATGAAAGGTACATATATGAGGAGAAAAATATGTCCTGAGTTAAGATGCGCTGACCGAAGCCTGGTTAGATCCCTTGTGTCTGTATGTAATTTCACTGGCCTCAGCTGGTCTCTCTGCACGCTCCTCCATCCATGCATAAGGGGTTGGCTTATCCCTTGGCTTAACCCAAGGTTAGATGTTGTGTAGGCTTTAACTAACCTGTAAAAGGAAAGCCTTACAGAGGCTGTATAACATAACCGAGGGGTATCAACGAAACATTTAAAACAGTTTCAATTTAGACTGCAGGAGAATTAATGGCAGTGAGCAGAGGCGACGGTGATTGGCTGCAATGATTATATAAAGCAAAGGAATGCCCTGGAAGATGAGAATACAGAGAATTCCATGGGTGATGAGTCATTAAATCAGCTTACTAAAATGTTCTTCACATCAAGGTCTTCATATTTCTATGTCTCCATAAGATTATAGTTGCAGATATAATTGATGGTAAAGTTGCACCATCTGCTAGTTTCAGGAGCTAGGTCTTGCAGTCATGCTGTAACTCCAATGAAACCAGAGGGCTGGGAGATCCTAACTCCAAAATGTGACCTAAAGCAGAAATCCTCCCTGACCCTGGCCATGGGGAATGCAGTCTGCAGGCAAGGAGTAACCAGCCGTATGGGCAGCCTGCCTTCCCGTCACGGCCTCATCTTCTGAGCCCTCTTCTACCTGCCCTGTTCTTTGCAGCAACAGTGCAGCCAGAACATTGTTATTTTTTCCGTGAGCTTTTAGATGTCTGTGTTAGGGATCTGAGTCCAAATTCATACCCCAGGCTCCCTTCATAGTCACTGCAGAGGGTTTGGCACCCACAGATGAGCATTTGGCTAATTAAACTCCAGTGCTCCTCATAAGACATACAAATATCTCAAGGGTGGGTGTCACAAGGATGGAGCCAGACTCTTCTCAGTGGTGCCCAGCGCCAGGACAAGGGACAATGGGCACAAACTGAAGCAGAAGAGGTCCCAGTGGAATGTGAGGAAGAACTTGTTGACTGTGAGGGTGCCCGAGCCCTGGCCCAGGCTGCCCAGGGGGCTGTGGGGTCTCCTTCTCTGGAGATATTCAACCCCCGCCTGGACGCTGTCCTGTGCCCCCTGCTCTGGGTGACCCTGCTTTAGCAGGGGGGTGGCACTGGGGGAGCTCCCGAGGTCCCTTCCAACCCCTGCCAGGCTGGGATTCTGGGATTCTGTGCTGCCATCAGGATGAGAAGTTTTATCCCCCAGAGGTGCTGAGGGTTTAGGTTTAGCTGTC